GTTTGGGGGAAATGGGATAAATCCAGAATTCTGGCAGGGTTTGGGGGAAATGGGATAAATCCAGGAATTCTGGCGGGGTTTGGGGGAAATGGGATCCATCCGGGAATTCTGGAGGGGTTTGGGGGAAATGGGATCCATCCGGGAATTCTGGAGGGGTTTGGGGGAAATGGGATAAATCCAGGAATTCCGTGGTTTGGGCAGCACTGGCTCGGGGGATCCGGGGCAGGATTTGGGGTCACCTGCCCCCCTCCCTGCCCTCGGGGGATAAGGTTGGTTTGGGGTCACTCCTGTGGGATTTGGGGGCTCCCCGGGGGGTTTGGGGGCCACCGAGGCCGGGAACCGGCCCCTCCCCAGCCCAACCCCACAGTGACCCCTGGGAAATCCCCTTGACCCCCCGAAACCCCTCTGACCCCCCAAAACCCCTTCTGACCCCCCGAAACCCCTTGGAACCCCCTTTAAACCCCCCTGAACCCCTTCAACACCCCCTTAAGTGCTTTTAAATGGTTTGAACCCCCCTTTCGAACCCCAAAAATAACCCCTGGAACCCCCTTAAACCCCTCTGACCCTGCCAAACACATTGAAATCTCTTCTGAAGCCCTAAAAAACCTCTGGACACCATTAAATCCCTCCCTGAACCCCTAAAAACCACTCTCTGAACCCCAAAATGCCCCTCCAAATCCCCTTTTTAACCCCTTACACCCCTCCTCTGAACCACCCTAAACAACTTTGAACCCATTTAAGACCCCTGAACAGCCTTTTAAACCCCTTTAAATCTTCTGAACTCACTTAAATCTCCTTTTGAGTATCTAAAAAAGCCCTTTAAACCAACTCGAATCCCTTTAGACTCCTCTGAACTCCCCTAAAGCTCTTCTTAAGCCTCCCTTCAAAAGCCTAAAAAATCCCTTTGACGCCCTTAAACCCCATTTAACTCCCTTGAATCCCCTCAAACTCCTCTTAAAGTGCCTTAAACTCCTCTGAACCCCCTTGATCTCCTAAAAGACCCTTAAAGTCCCTTTATAAACCCCTTTAGATCCAACTGAACCCCTCCTAGCCCCCATGAACCTGTCTGGATGCCTAAAACCCCCTCTGAACCCCAAAACACCCCAGAACCCCTAAAAACCCCACTTTGAACCTCCCTGAATCCCCCCAAAACCCCTCTGAACCCCTTTAAACCTCTTTTTTAAACTCTCCGGAACCCCTAAACCCCATAAAAACCCCTCTGAATCCTTTTCAACCCAAAAAACTCCCTCAACGCCCCCAAAGCCCCCAAAAATCCCACTTTGAGCCCGTTTAAACTGCCCCCCCGCCAGGGGACAGGTGACCCCCAGGAGCACCAGGGGACTCTCAACCCCCAAAATTGGAGGGGGTCAGACCCCAGTGTGGGAAAACTGCAGGAAAAGCCAACGGTGAAATCAAAAAGTCAGGAAAAGAACGGGGAGGCAGCAGCTGGATTGGGGGATTTGGGTCCCTGCGACGCCGGGGTCTGGGAGCATCCAGGTGAGCAGGTCCTGAAGGCACAGCCCAGGGCAGGTGAGCAGCTCCAGGGGCACAGATCCCACCAGGTGAGCAGCTCCAGGGGCACAGATCCCACCGGGTGAGCAGCTCCAGGGGCACAGATCCCACCGGGTGAGCA